CTGCAACTACACTTAAAATAATTGAGTTTTAAAACTGGATACGGATTTAAGTGTGCGTTGATGCCCTGAGGAAAACAAATAGTTTCCCTTCTGTTTTGGGGACTTGGTTACTGGGAAGGGTGGTTGCTCCTCACAGCAGCTACCCCGCACTGAGGCAGCTGGAGCTCTCCAGGTGTTCGGGTCACGGGGAGGCTGCTTCACAGGGCACCACTGGCTGTCAGGCAGTGGCCATTGCCTCTTCCATAGCTGAAACATGTCGTGGCTGCTAACAGCCACCGTCGGAATGGGAGGCTGGCCGGTGCCCCCCTTTTCTTCATGGAGGGAACTTTGCAGTGCCGTCTCCCATAGGCTTGATGAGCTAACATTACCTCAGCTAATGCTCCCAGCCCTGGGAGCACTTTACAGGCACAGGACAGTGGCCCCCAGAGATGTTAAGAGGCTCCGAGCTCTGCTCCCTGTGACTGGAACTAAGTGGGATAGAAGAGTGAAATCTGATCAGACTGGTGGAGGCCCCAAACATGCGCGTGTGCACATGCGTGTCTGCCTTTCTCTTTTTCACTGCAGCTGTTGGGAGGTACATGGGCTGGTACTGGACAGCTTCCTTCCTTCCCTTTCCTATGATTATGTTCCGTGAAGACAGAAGACCTTGGATCTCACATTTTGACTAAATTCATCTCCCCGTGACCCTGGAAATGTGTAGAAGCAATGGGCTGAGCACAGACACTGTGCCAGCTGTCCAGCTGCGGGGCACTTTCATGCCAGTGCGTGGGACCCTGGAGCCAAGCACAGAGCTTGCCAGGACTGCCTGAAGCAGCATCGAGAATGTAGGGAGATGCACATGTCAACACTGAGAGATAGCGTCCCTGGGCGCTCTGTGGTCAGAAATGTAAGCAGTGGGCAAAAGTGCCTTCTCTGGGAGTCACAAAGGATAAGGGTGGGCCACCCATCCGAACGTAATGTTTAAAGTGATAAGTAATAATGTGAGTGAGAGGGGTTTGCTTACTGCACGAGGAGGAGCAGACAGGTCTGGTGACCCCAGCCTTGTCTTCAGAGTACAGCCATGTGCTTCACGCCTTATTACAGAGGGAACTGGGGTGGGGAGAACAACAAGAAATTCATAACTAAACAGTCTTGGTCAAGATTGAGGTCTGGTTGATCTTTGATCAAAGTGGTTCAAAGAAGTTGCTACTGCCGTCATCCCAAGAGAAAGTCTCATGAGATGATCACGTCTGCTGGGGTACAGCCTTGCCATGAGAGCTAATGGCCTCTGGGCACAGTTTCTCCTGCCCTGCTAGGCTCAGGGCTGCTGTGGGTTATAGTCCCTTGTCACAGTGTTTACAGATGAATCCTTTCCCGGAATCTGAGATGGGGGGGGGGGGGGGGGGGGGGTTGAACAGCCGCCATGAGGAAAGGTTCAAGAGGCAAATGAAGAGCCAGGGAGGAAGACTCCGTGGAGTGATGCGGCCGGTGGCTGGAGCCTCCCTCCGCAGCAGCCTAGTGCCTTTACCTTCATCCTTTTTCAGAAGATACCACAGTGGATTGTAGCTGACCCCAACAACTTCTCTTAATGTGATGATCTCTGTAAAGACCCTGAATATCAGGGTTGAGTCTGACACTGAGTTTGGACCACATATGAATTTCAGCCGCAGCTCAAGCGTTAACATTGAGTGTGGGCAGTGCTTTCCTGGTGCCACCCCACCCCACACTAGCTCTGGTGTCATAGGTGATATGTGCGAATTACTGAATAAAAATAATGGGTACTGTTTCTGTAGAGCATGATTTCAAAATGCTGAAATGCTACAGCGATTCCACACTGGACCTTAGATTTGCCAACACAGCCAGCTCCGCAGTTACACGTAGTCTACCGGAAGAAGCCGACACTGTTGGCCACCTCTCCCTCGGCTTGCTTCCCTTATCGGGCCAGGCCCAATGGGCTTAAGGAGAAAAGCCAGTTAGCTGCTTGACAGTTGGCACCCTCTGGAAGACCCTCCTGATTCTCTGGGAGGTTCTGCAGATTGTCCTGCTGAGGCCCCTTGCTCCATCCATGCAGCAGCATTTCCTTTGCTGGCCTCACCCCACCCCGAAGCACCCTGCAGGCTGCCCCATGGCAGCTCTCCTCTTAGGTTCTGTGATTGACTCATGTGAACCACTTCGGTATCAGGTAAGGTGGCATCCTAAATTCTGCTGGTAGATAGATAAACTATCTAACAAACAAAGCTTGCCTGGAACAGCCTCTTACCTTGGCCAGTCTCAGGGCAGAAAGCTGTCTGACTTTTCAGATACATTCCGTTGTTCTCTTAGTTTCTCTCCATGGGCCGAGGGTGGGAGCCAACACCCTTCCCAAGCCTGCCTTTTCAACCTCTGCTTAGAGCAGCAGTTTTCAGCCTGGGGGTTGGGACCCCTTTGGGGGTCGGACGACCCTTTCACAGGGATTGCATATCAGATATCCTGCATATCAGATATTTACATTATAATTCATAACAGTAAAATTATAGTTACGAAGTAGAATGAAATAATTTCAAGGTTGGGGTCACCACAGCATGAGGAACTATATTAAAGGCTCACAGCATTAGGGAGGTGGAGAACCACTGGTCTAAGAGACTAGAGGAGAGCGAGGCGCTGAGCTGGGTGGATGACAGGGTTTCTCCCTAACAGGGCCAGCTGCCTGCCTGGCCAGGTGTCCTGACACTACTGTACACATGACAGTTTTGTTAATGGTACATTTAGGTACTCATCATTCCCTGGACAGTGAAAAGAGGGAGAAGACCAGGCTTAACATGGTTATCATTTATATAAAATATTTTATTAAATGCATTCATTGTGAGTGTATGAACATGCATGTGTGTGTGTGTGCCATAGCACGCGTGCGGAGGTTGGGGACAACTTGAGAGTGTCCTCCTTTTATCATGAGGGTTCTAAGGGTCAAACGCAGCTCTCAGGCCTGGCAGCTACCACCTTACCCACTGAGCCATCTGCCTAGCCCATTGTTTTTGTTCTTTGAAACAGGATCTTGCCTTGTAACCCTGGCTGGCCCCAAACTTGCAATCCCCTGCTTCAGCCTCCTGAGAGCTGCTTTTGTAGCTGGGTGCCTCTGTGCCCAGACTGATATGGTCATTCACAGAGGGAACACATGACATTTTATTATACTTTAGAACAAGGGAGTTGAGTCACCAGACATGAGCTCTGACCTTAAAAAGAGCATCCTTACATCCCAGCTCTTACATCTGAACCTTAACACCAGTTTACCCTTTGGAGTATTTTACCAATTTTTAGAAATTTCTAGCCAATTAGTTGTTTCTCTAGCACGTTTGATTTTCCAAGTAGGACACTAATATATCCTCCCGTCCTGCTTTTGCCCGTGTGGCTTTATGGGTGGGAAGCTGTGTTGTTTACTGCTCTTCACTGTGTTTAGTTTCACCACCATAGAATCTGTCAGCATTTAAAATGTGATTAGATGTTATAGTATTCAGGATTGACTAATAAAAGGTTAGTTCAAGTGTGGCACCTCCTAGGATAATGATAAGTGTTCTCTTAATCTTAAAAAAAAAAAATAGCTAATACCCCATGGGGGAGAACACAGTGGAGGAGCGAGGTCGTGAGGCGCACCGGGAGTTAAGTGTCTGGGTGTGGAGAAACAGTGCCCGTAAAACCAGCCTGGACAGTTAAGCTTGAAATGCTCGAGTCTTAAGACTAGCTGTAGAGGACAGGATGGTGACATGTGGAGTCATCATTTCGCTCTGTAACACAACAGAAGGGCTGATGAAGATGGAGCAAGAAGATGGACCCAGTGACTCATCTTCTCTATATGAGGAGAAAAATGGGCAACAAGGAAAACCAGTAAGCTGTTCCATTTCTGAGATGGAAAGTCAACCCAGAAATAAACACCACCATCTTCCAGAGTCAGACGTGCATTATACATCTCCCACACACGTGTGTACACTGTAAGCAGCTGTAGAACGTCAGAGTGGTGCCGTTTGGACCATTGATGTAGGACTTGGTTTTGGTTACATGGAGTGTTTTATACTCCCTCAAGGGAAATACCTACTGAATAAGACATAAAGAAGACATTTTGTTGTTGGGAGTTTTACTTAAGAAGACTAAATGTTTCTGTCCCTTTTTCATGCACACAATATTTCATACCAAAAAATAGGAGCTGGGCATGGGCTGAGGCACCAGCACTGTAAGCCACAGTGAAACTGACTTTGAGATTTGAGGTGTTCAGAATCACAGCCTTCCACCTGTGGACCCCATCACCATCACAAAATGACCACCTAACTGGTAGCATTTCATCCCCAGAGTCACCCCAGGGAAGAATACCTGCCTGCTCATATCCTACTGTGTCTTGGAAATCTGTAGCTGCTGGCTGTCGGCAGAGTTCTTGAAACAATGTGGCAGAGAACCTTAAACTTAAAAACCTTTTCACTTTCACATTCAGGGTTTATTCCTCTAGACAAGAACTGATTTGTTACAGGTTATGCGGGGCCTGTAATCCCAACACTCAGGTAGGCTGCCGTGTGATTGCTGCAAGCCTGGGGCCAGCCTGGGCTACATAGCAAGACCCTGACTCTAAAAACAAAAAAGTATCTTATAAAAATCAAAAATGTGTGGGTGGTGGTAGTGCACACCTTTAATCCCAGCACTCAGGAGACAGAGGCAGGCAGATATCTGTGAGTTTGAGGCCAGCCTAGTCTAAACGGACCCACGACAGCCAGAGCTGTTACACAGAGAAACCCTGTCTCCAAAAACAAAAACAACCAACCTAAAATGTGATAGGAAGTGTGGTGCGGCATTCATATTCGCAGATGACTCAGTCTTACAGGTTTTTAGCTCTGTGAATGTGGGCCTGGTTTTGTTGACAGCTTGGGTGCTGTTGTCACACAGCTCTCCTGCCGCTGCCTGGTTAGACCCGCTCTGTGTGAGGCCATGACAAGTGGCAGTGTGTGGGATCTTTCACTCTAGATCCTAACGGCTTTTATTCTTGGCATTTTTTTTTTTTTCAGAGAATATCACTGTGCACATGACTTCCAACCAGACCAAGGAATTTAACAGCAGCACCGTGAAGCCAGTAGTAACTTCAAGACTGCCAAAAACTGTCACAGCTGTCACTTTGAAACCTACAACTATTGCTAAAACATCAACACCAGGGGTCTCGCCACACTCGAATTCCACTGCCTCCAAGTCTACACCCAAAGCAAGTGCTTCCCCAAACTCAACCCACACCTCAGCATCGGTGACGACCACAGGCCCCAGTAGTTTAAAGACATCGATAACAAGTATGTATTAAAATGACTTACATTCTCTGTGCTGTAAATTAGTTGTCAAATGCCACGTTAAAGCCAGCTTTCCATTGTGCAAAAATACAGAACCTTTATGTGCCTATATTTTCCCTCATCCCCACTTCAGCACTCTTAAGAGAAATTCAGACTTCAGCGCATGCACTGTTTCAGACTACAGCACGGACATCTGTTTTGTCTCCTTTTAGTAACAGCGACTATTCATTCTGACAAAAGCAAAGGATCCAGGTTTGACACCGGCAGCTTTGTTGGAGGAATAGTGTTAACACTGGGAGTTCTGGCTGTGCTCTACATTGGATGCAAAATGTATTACTCAAGGAGAGGCATCCGGTATCGAAGCATGTAAGTCTGGCCACTCTACATAGCTTTATCATGACCAGTGTTCTCTCCAGGACAGACTTCCGCTACGCTTGGGTCAGACCTGTGCTCAGATGAAAACACCCCTGGGACCAGACATTGCTTTCGCGACTTTTAACCAACTCCTTTGTTGGTGTTTACCACACGTCATAAATGACATGCCTGGTCTCGTCATCCTCGTGACTTGTCCACATGCCATATATGTTATATATATGTCAGTGGTGTCAAAGAGTATTTTTGGTAAAAGCATGGTTTTTGCTTTAATGACAAAGATACAGACACAAAAGGAAATTGCTCTGCTTAGTTTTCCCTGGTAATAGTAGTTATTGTGAGTACAGACTCCATAAGCCAGGTGTGGTGGTCCATGACTTGTAATCCTAGCCTTTAAAGTTGCCTAACTTCCTAACTTTACCCTTTATGGGCTAATTTTTCCCTCATGTGTACATGACCAGATAATGGCTTATGCCCTATGAAAAGTCACAGGGATTTGACTGTGGGCCTGTTTGGCAATCTTTTTTTTTTTTTTTTTTTGGTTTTTCGAGACAGGGTTTCTCTGTGTAGCTTTGCGCCTTTCCTGGAACTCACTTGGTAGCCCAGGCTGGCCTCAAACTCACAGAGATCCGCCTGGCTCTGCCTCCCGAGTGCTGGGATTAAAGGCGTGCACCACCACCGCCCGGCCTATTTGGCAATCTTAACCACTGCAGTATACTGGGTATGCACATAACTTAATGCTGAGCAACAGTAATTAATTTTGATTGTGAAAATAGAGACCGTTCTAACGTCTTCCTTACAAATACTAATTTGACAGTAATTTAAATTTTCTATTACAGTGATGAACATGATGCCATCATTTAAAGCACTCTACTGAGCAAGGAAAGAAGAGAGACTTCAACCCTATCAATTAGTTTGTTTATATTAGCTTAAAATATTATTTTCTTGGAAGTAGTATAAGAAGCATGCATAAAATGAACAGTGTGTTCCATGATATCCAGAAATCCCTCATTACTGAAGGTAAAGGGTGTGGTCTGGGCAGTTCAATGAATAATTGGAGCAAACAGGTAATTTATCCAGTGATTACATTTACTTTAGAAAGTCCTAGCAAGACAAGTCCTAGCAAGACAAGCCCTGTCTTTCGGAGTATGCAGATGGCACTGGTTGTCACTGGGGGCAGGATCCCATGTAGCATACAGGGAGGAGTCTGCCGCAACACTCGACTTTCACTAAACAGTGATCGTGTAAAGAACCTGAATGCCATTCAGAGCTGGGTGTGCCCTAATTCATGCCTCGGGTTCCACAGCTCACCTTAAGGAGGCGTCAACATTTTAGGGTTTAAAGTCAGGCTTGATCTAGAGAGAACTTGCACTCCGATGCAGCCCTCACAGCACATGCTTGTATTAAAGGCCCTGGAGTGCTGCGGAGTGTGGACTATACCAGCCACCTCTTTTCAGCTCTCCGTGTTGCTCTCTCTTCCTTTCTACGTGATGTAGGCAAGCCACAGCGCTGCCTGGGAGCCTGTCGCACCACTGGGAACGCTGTTCACAGGCACTTGACAGTTTGAATTTCAGTGAACAATTTTTAGGCAATGTAGAGCTGCTTTCCTATGTAGAACTTTGTAATGGAATGTAAAATTCCTTTTTTTTAAAGTCCCCATTATATGATTTCCAAATCAGTGTTTAGAAGTCTACATTGACAGCAAAATGCTGTGCTTTCTGAACCAGGGACTGTGAAGCACCCCCAGGCCGCTAAACCTACAGAGTGGAGATGCTGCATTTTTTACACTGTCAACTCACTCAGATTTGAGAAAATGGTGTTTTTATTCTAGGCTGTATTTTCGAGTAAATTCCAGCTTCCTTATCCCCGGGCCCACTTCTTACCCTTTGTGTTTCCAGGGAAATCAGCACCCTGTCCCCCAGTGGCCCGTCACCCCAGCAGCCCGTCACCCCAGAAGCCCAGGCTCTCTGCGGCATTTAGTTCTATAGTTTAGATTCCAGGTCAAACTCAGGGTCAAGGTTAACAAAGGAGGTGTTAGTTACAAAATACTAATATAATATTTCTATTGTAGAGGGCAAAAAAAATTACAGCAATTTCTGAAAGTGTAGAAATAAGCCACAAATGTCCTAATGAGTGCATACTTGTTACAGTTAAAATTAAGTATAACTTTTGTAATCTACTGCTGGGTTTCAGAAAATGCAAACTACCAAGAATTTTTTATATAAATAAATTTATTTCTACTTGCTGTGCATTAGGGCCAACTGATATGGTAAATGTGGAATGCTCAGATCTATTAACAGGGAGAATGGAGGAAATGCTAGGAAATGGAACATGGGGTAGATTAGTTTCAAGTGTGGGCTGATGGGAAATGAGTGCTTTCTCATTGGCTACTTTCCTTTTTTCAGAATCTAGTTTAGGCTCCTGCAGGTGGTGAGGGCCTTTAAGTTTAACTTGTTTCTGTTTGCTGCACTCTTGATACTTCAGTACCAGCCAGCGGTGTTCTTGGATGCTTGTTTCCTTAGAACTTGGAAGAGCTAAACCTCTTCCTGAAGTACCTTCTTTGCCTCTTAGTCTCCACTGATTTGGGGGTTAAAAGTAATGTTGTTATGTCTTTTCTAATTTGTTACTTTCAAATACCAGGACTTTTGTTGAAGGGATTTCTTTTTAATCTACCAAAATTGACCACATTTTCGAAGCGTAAGTTTGTCTTCCGAGACTGGCTTAAGCGAACGCTCACCTTTCCTAGCTTTCCTAGAGAATGTGTTTGTTAAGATAAAGCAATCCTAGATGTACGTGTGGACAGTAGAGCTATTCTGGCTTTAAATTTCACTTCAGTAATTCCATAAAAAGAATAATTCAAAGGTAGAGAAATGAGAGTTGGCAACATATTTTATGGTGTGATAATTTTGTATCTTTAGGGGAAAGACTAGCAAACTCTTGTTACCCTTTTTTCTATAATGACCAATTTTGGTATTTCATTGTTACTAAGATCTATTTTTAGAATAAAATTTGTTCTCCATTCAAAGGCTTTAGTGTTTTGTTGAATGTGCACAGTGGTTCCTATTTTATTTCTCCAGTATATAATTTTTTTTTTTTGGTTTTTCAAGACAGGGTTTCTCTGTGTAGCTTTGTGCCTTTCCTGGAACTCACTCTGTATAACAGGCAGGCTGGCCTTAAACTCACAGAGATCCGCCTGCCTCTGCCTCCCGAGTGCTGGGATTAAAGGCATGTGCCGCCGCCGCCGCAGCCGCCGCCACCGCCACCACCACCACCACCACCACCACCACCACCACCACCACCACCACCCGGCTTCCAGTATATAATCTTGACGCATGTACAGTAAAGGCCTGCTTTTACACCTAGGCCAGACCTTGGATAATTTAGTCTCACAATAAAAACGTCCATTCCTTGGCACAAGCTTTGAAAGTTTGCCATTGGGGTCTCTCATTTCTTCAGTATTCTTGAGTTCAGTTTCTTTTGCAACAGATTATCAGCCATCCATTTCCACCAGAGGCTGCCACCCCCACAAACACATCACACACCACAAAGCAGCCACTTATTTCACTCCAGAAATCAGAGATGCCATCTCTCCTGCCGACCCTGAACAAACTCGAAACACTCCAGACCTAAGCCCTGAGGCTGCATAGAACCTGCCTGTGCTTCTGACCGGTAGACATCCCCAGAACCAGCTTGCTTTCACATGGACCCTCAAGCCGTGTGCACATTTAAAGTGCCAGCTCGGCTGTCAGGGATGCTCAGGCCTAGACATCCAACATCAGTGGTCTCATGCTTGGGGCCCAGGGCCACTGCATGGTGTGCCTGTTTACTAGTGCTAGCCCATGCGGTCACCAGAGAGAACACAGACCTCACCTCACCCTGCAGCCACCATAACCGTGTGCATGCCACATGCCCTTGTTCCCGGTTCTTGGCTGCTTCACAGGTGGAACCTAGACACTGTCATGAACTTATCAGCAGGGCCTCAAACCTGAGAACCCATGCTCCAGTCCCTGGAGCCGCACCCTCTCCACAGGCACCGCTCTTCAGAACATAGTGATGTCACAGTGTGCCTGCAGCTGGACTCGGTGCCTGGAAAAGCCTTAGCGATGACCTCTGTGGTGCAGAATGACTCCAGCAGACGTCACAAGTGGACCCACAAAACCCTGAGCTACTCACGTACGGAGCTCCGAGGGCGGGCCCTGCAGTGTCTGCCACAACCACCTCAGCTGCTGGCTGTCCTTGCCTGTGCCGGGTGATTGTACCTCTCGCCAGCGCCCTCCATCCCAAGTGTAAGTCCTTTGTCCCAAAGCCACCCTAAAAGTGACAGTGCCACCAAGTACAGAGTTCAACAGGAAATGTGACGTCAAGAAGACGGGAATATCAACCAACCACTTCCCAGCAGCTAGAGAGCTCCACACTATTAACATATAAAAATAATTCGGGATAATCATTTTAAGGAAAATTAAACAAGTGACAAAGTGAAAATTGTAATATAATGAAGTGTTAAATCGGCTTTACGTTCCTGTAATAAAATAACTTGGTACTCAGCCTATAAAAAATATTTCTTGCCTAAGTGGGGGGAGGGCTGTTCATCCATGATTGATGGCTACTTGCTTGCTATTAGGCCCATGGTGGGGCAGAGCATCATGGGAACATGTAACAGAGGAAACTGTTTCCATGCTATCTGTGGGCGACTGGATCCAGGACTCCGAAAGCTACCAAAATCTGCTTAAACTCATCACTGGAGTACTTACTGTACCTACCTAGTGCAGTGCAAACACTAATAGACGATGAAGTATACAGTCATCAGAGGGAAAAAGATGTGAAGAAATGAGACCCTACACAGTTTATGAGCCAGCATCACAAGTGAAAATACTGAATACAGTATTAAAGGAGGAAAAATTACTTAAAGAAATAATAACTAGAAATGCCCCAAATCTGGGGGAAGAAATTATTTTAAAAAATCCAGGTACAGAAAGATCCAAAGTCCCAACTCATATTTGATTCAGAATGGATTACACTGTGACATTGCAATCAAATTGCCAGACAGGACAGGATCCTGAAGGCAACAAGAAAAAGATGTGCAACCCCACACAAAGGCTCCAATTTTACCATCAAGACTTCAGTGGAAACCTGACATGCTAAAAGAATGGGGTGGAATGATCTAGTCAACGTTCTAAGGGGAAAAACAAAAACCCGACTAAATGGCAAAGCTGTCCTTCAGGCTTGCCACAAAAATGTGGGTGGTGTTCCACTATCACACTACTCAAGGAGGGAGCCTTCCAGAATGGTTGTGGGAGCCATCGGGCTTTAGAATGGGCATTAGAAGGATAAGCATTTCCGGTGACAGCTGCACTGTTAGCGGTATATGACAAAAAAGGACACGTTATGACATGAGTAATAAAAATGGAAGGTGGGACGGTAAAAGTAGAGAGCAGTTTACACAAAGTTGTTAGTTCCTAAAAGAAATAACCACTGGGCTATGTAACAGCCAATGGGTACATAGAAGATAAATAATAAAGCACATTACCACTGCTGGTACAGAAGATTACCCAGGCGCAGGAAGACAGCCAGAGGATTTGCAGGACCTAAATAATAACACAATTCTTGCCTGTATGTCCAGGTTCAGTATCTCTAACCTGAGATGCTAGAGAGCAAATGTGTCTCAGATTCTGGACATTGGGATATTTACATAAGCAAATGAGGTATCTTAAGGATAGAACCTGTCTAATCATTTGTGTGTGTGTGTGTGTGTGTGTGTGTGTGTGTGTGTGTGTGTGTATGCGTATGCCTTAAACACTAGCCGAAAGGTAGCTTGTGTGGTATTCTTAGTGTGCCTTCATTTTGACTGAACATCACGGAGTCAGGTATGGAAATTTCCTCATGTCATCAGTTCAATGTTCAGGAGTTTCTGATTTTGAAGCATTTCAGGTGTTAAGAGTAGGGACGATAGCAGGGTGGTGGTAGCATGCGCTTCTAATGCCAGTATTCAGGAGACAAAGGCAGGCAGATCCATGAGTTTGAGGCCAACATGGCCTACAGAGCAAGTTCTAAGACATCCAAGGCTACACAGAAACCCTGTCTCAAAAAACAAAAATACAAAAGAGTAAGGATGATCAACTTTGAATATGTTTAGTAAATAAATATAAATGAACTAAAACCTCTAACCAAAATCATTGACTGAACTGGGAGATGCTCAGTGGGTACACTGGTCTTTGTGTGAGCACCAGGGCCGAGTTTGGATTCCCAGCACCCACATAAGGGAAAGGAGTGGCAGTACACACCCATAACCCTGTGCTGGGGAGCAGAGACACTGAAAGACCCCTGGGGCCTGCTGGCCAGCCACCCAAAAAAAGTGGGCTCTAGGTTCAGTGAGAGACCCTGTCTCAAAAAATATATATAAAGTAGTGGAGGATACATCCTAAAGTTAACTTCTGACAGCATACATGTGCAGATGAACACACACCATTGAATAGATTTAAAAAACAATACTCAGGTTTATTACCTGCCTCCTGGCAGGCTTCTCTAAAACCAGTAAACTATGAAAGACTAAAAATGATAATTCAAAGGACAAAAATCCATCTCATTTCTTAGAACGGCTTACTAAGGCCCTTCTTGAATATACTAGCCTAGATCCTGAAAGCCCAGAGGGCAGGCAGCTCCTTATGACCCACTTTGTCTCACAGAGCTTCCCCAACATAAGGGCAAAACTTAAACACTTGGAGAAAGGCCCTCTGACTCCACAGGCAGAGTGTTGGTGGTGGCATTTAAGGTGTACCATGGAAGAGATGAAAAAGCCCAAAAAAGGAATGTGCCAGATGCTGGCACATGCTGTCTGACTGGCTCCCCGGAAGCCGCCAGGTCCCTGTTTCAAGTGCGGGAAAGACAACCATTGGGCCCAGGCTTGCACCACCGCCCCACAGGGGGGCACTGATAGGGCCTTGCCCAAAATGCTGCCAATAGGGTCACTGGTCAGGTGTAGTTGGAGTTTTCTCCAGTCCCGCTCAGACCTGCAGCCCCTCACACCCAAATAAGCACACAGATGCTTATATTATTTAAACTGTTTGGCCTAATGGCTCAGGCTTCTTGCTATCTAGTTCTTGTATCATAAATTAACCCATTTCTATTAATCTATAAGTTGCCACATGACTTGTGGCTTACTGGTACCATACATGTTGCTTCTCATTAGAGCAGTGGCTGGCAGTATCTCCTAACTCAGCCTTCCACTTCCCAGCCTTCTCCTCTCTCTTTGTCCTGCCTATACTTCCTGCCTGGCTACTGGCCAATCAGCACTTTATTTATTAACCAATCAGAGCAACACATTCAGAGCATACAGAACATTCCACAGCAGTCAGGTGACTGTCCTAATGCACCTAGTAGCATGGGAATGCCAGATCAGGACCACCCTCCAGCTGACTTCCTAGGCTTGGCTATCAGCGACAACTGATGCTGCCTGGGTCCCACCTCAGCCACTCCCATACAGGGAACCCAGGGTAGCAGTAATAATATCTGGGCAACCCATCTCCTTCCTTCTGGACACCGGAGCTACCTACTCTGTCCTGAGGGAGTATTGGGGCCCGACTTCTTGTCTCCCTATTGTCGAGGTGGGGGGACAGCCTTACCTACCTCATCAGACCCCACCACTTAATTGTATTTTCAGAGGCATCCCTCTTACATTCTTAGTGGTGCCAACCTGCCCTGTGCCTCTAATGGGAAGGGGTTTTCTAGCTAAGGTAGGAGCATCCAGTTCTTTTGCTCCCCACATTCTCCTCACCCCAGACTCGCCAGCAGCTCCTCTTCTTCTTCTCCTAGCCACCCACCCTACTAACTCTAACAGTTCCTTTCCCTTGCCAGCCTCTCAGGTAGACCCAAAAGTCTGGGATACCCAGAACATTTCTATCGCTAGACACCATCAGCCTATTACTATCCAGTTACAGGACCCTACCAGCTCAGTACCCTCTCTCACTCCAGAGCCTAAGAGGACTTAAGCCTATTATTTCTGACCCTCTCAGGAAAAAGCTGCTCTGCCCAACCTCTTCACCTTTTAACACCCCCATACTGGCAGTTAAAAATGGAACCTACCACCTGGTTCAAGACCTCCGGCTCATTAACTCTGCAGTGGTCCCTCTCCATCCTGTAGTGCCTAACCCTTATACTCTCCTGTCCATGGGTCCCTTCAGAAATCTCTCACTTCTCAGTTCTAGACCTCGAGGACGCCTTCTTTTCTATTCCTCTCAGTCCTCAGTCTCAAAATATCTTTGCTTTCACCTGGACTGACCCTGACACCCACCGGTCCACACAGCTGACCTGGATTGTTCTGCCACAGGGATTCAGAGACAGTCCAGACCTCTTTGGTCAGGCTCTGGCCTCTGACCTGCTTTCTCTGTCTCTCCCTGGCTCTAAACTAATACAGTATGTAGATGATATTTTACTCTGTAGCCCATCCTTACAGGTTAGTCAAACTAACACCTCTGCTCTCCTAAATTTCTTATCCAGCCAAGGTTACAGGGTATCTCCTTCTAAAGTTCAGCTGTCAACTCCCCAGGTCACCTATTTGGGTCTAACCATTGCTCCAACCCACAAGGCTATTACTGTAGATAAAAAGCATCTAATCCAGTCTCTTACAGTCCCTTCTACTAAACAGGAGATTCTCTCTTTCCTAGGAATAGCTGGCTTCCTACAGTCTTGGGTTCCACCTTTTTCTCTTTTTGCTCGCCCCTTATACAAGGCAGCTCAGGGCTCCCCACATGAGACCCTTCTCCACCCCATTATTAAACCTTTCCAGAAGCTCCAACAGGCTCTTCTCCAGGCTCCAGTGCTTCATCTCTCAGACCTAACCCATCCCTTCTCCCTCTGTGTAGCAGAGAAAGAGGGATTTGCCCTGGGAACTCTAGGGCATCAGCTGGGACCCTCCTTTGCACCTGTAGCCTATCTGTCAAAGAAGCTAGACCTTACCAGTCAGGGCTGGGCACCCTGTATTCATGCTTTAGCAGCTGCTGAGTTCCTTATTCAGGAATCAAAGAAGCTAACTTTTGGGTCACCTGTTACTGTCTTCTCTCACCACAACATGTCCCATCTCTTAACTTATAAAGGCTTACAAATTTTACCTCCTTCCCAGGTTATTTCTCTCCAGGTGGCATTACTAGAAAATGCCACACTTACTTTCCAGACCTGTCCACCCCTTAATATTTCAAGCCTCCTCCCTCAACCTAATGCTAACTATTCTCCTTCTCATTCCTGCACTGAAATCTTGGAGGAACTGTTACCTTACCCTTCACACATACAGGAGGGCACATTGCCTCAGGCCACTTATACCTGGTACACAGATGGCAGCTCCTTCTTATATGAAGGGACCCGTAAAGTGGGTTATGCCATAGTGTCAGATACTGAGATAATAGAAGCACAGGCATTATCCCCACACACACCACCAACCAACAGGCTGAGCTGATAGCTCTCATCCGTGCCTTCCAATTGGCACGGGGACAATCTCTAAATGTTTACACAGACTCCAAATACGTTTTTCATATCCTCCTGTCCCACGCTGCTA